GGTGATGGTCACGCTGATGGTGATGATTACGGTGGTGATGTTGATCTGGACGACGATGTCGCTGATGATGATGACGATGTTGATGACGATGATGATGTTGATGATGATATTGGTGATGATGATGATGGTGATGATGACGATGATGATGATGACGATGATGACAACGATGATGACGATGTTGATGATGACGATGACCATGAAGATGACGATGGTGATGATTACGGCCCTTGATGACGGCGACGATGTCACTGATGATGATGATGTTGTTGATGACGTTGATGATGTTGATGATGATGACGATGTTGATGACGTTGACGATGTTGATGATGATGTTGTTGATGATGATGATGATGTTGATGAAGATGATGATGATCACGATGACAATGATGGTGATGATGATGATGATGATGATGATGATGATGATGATGACGATGATGATGGTGGCGACGATGATGGTGATGATGGAGGCGATGATGATGATGATGATGGCAAGCAAGAATCATGGGGCCGCTCGCGAGGAAAGAACGAGCGGGAATCAGAAGGGGACACAGAAACCATGTGGCCCAATATCACCGACATCCTTTCCCTCTGTCCCCGCAACTTGAAATAGGTGGTGCGATGCGGCTGCTCCCATGGGCCGGCAAACATGCCTGACGCCCGACACGTGGGCAGGCAGAACAGCACTTTACCTTGAAGAGGGCACAGCGCACACGATGGCGCAGCTCTTTGACGGGTCACAGTTCTTCGACGAGGCGCAGTTCTTTGACAACGGCGAAGCGCACACGATGGCGCAACTGTTCGACAAGGGCTCAGCGCAGACGGCGGTGGCCACTTGCTGACGCAGGATGCAGAGACGAGATGTCGAAGCGCAGAAACCTAAAGCACAAACGAAAGTTGTCGATGAGAGGAAACCCCCGCACCCATGCCCGCCGCCGCCTAGCGCAACAGCGGAGCAGAAAAGGCAATGGAGGATGTCGCTGATGGGACGTCGCGCGCGAATGCGCTCGTCAGGCTCGAGATGCGAAAGGGCTGCACCAGACCCAAGGCAGCTGAGCCTCAGACTGTCGTCCCACCCCATGGAAAGACCCGCCTGTGTCCCCCCGCACGGCCACAGACCCCGCTCGCCAGCCAGGAGACGCGAATGACCGTAAACCCCTCCAACCTCCCCTTTCCCCCCGCCCCCCTCCCCCCTCCCCCCTCCCCCCTCCCGCGGTTCTCCCCCCTCACCCCTGGAAAGTACAAACTGCCCCCCCACGACACTTGAGACCCCCACGACCGGGGCCCGCGAACCCGAAGACACGAACGCGAGGGGCCCGGAACAAGGGCCCGTTTTCCAATGACGTCCGGGAAGGGCTAACCCGTAGGGACGTTTTTTGTCACATTTCGACGCACCAGGCCCCCCTCGCGACAATTTCGACGTGCAGCCACCGTTCGATGCGCGGATTGAACAGTCGCGCGTCGGCGTGCGGACCCTTCAGGGAAATACGAAACAGAAGGCCCGAGGGGGCCTCGTCTCCCGCGCGCCTACAAATACGAGCGGCGCCCTGGGCATTGACGATGCGTTCTGCGTTTTTGCTGGGGAGATGCTGCGCGACGGAAGCCACGCACCGCCACTGTCGTCAACAGCTGGCGCGCCATAGCTGGCACAGCCATTCTTCACCGCGCACGTTTCGTGGCACCGACGCACCCCACATGCCCTTGCATGTCCCTTCGCCTACCAAGTCGCTGTCCACGTCATATTCAACGTCGCTTCCGATCTCCTTTCTCGAAAGGCGCGCCCGCCACCCCATGCAGTACCCTAGCAAACGCGAAGCGCACGCCCAAAGGTGGACAGAGTGCCGTCACAATAAACGCCGAGGTTCGCGCTCATCTTCACTCGGCGGTTCCACACAATGAGTGCGCACGCAGTGGGGACGTATGTGTGCATGTGTGCGCGTGCGGGGGAGGTTTTTTGTGACGATATGCTTGCGCAGATCGAAAGATTTTGTGGTTGCATGTGTGCGGGTGGGTGTGTGTGTGTGTGTGTGTTTGTGTGCGATTGTGTGTTTGTGCATGCTTCATTGTGTGTGTATGTGTTCGAGTGCGTGTTCCTTTGTGTTTGTGTTTGTATTGAATTGTGTGCCACACGCGCGAGGCAGCATCGTGTGTGCGTCTGCACCTGAGGGGCGTGTGTGTGTGGGCGCCGTGTGTCGGCGCGCGTGTGTGTGTGTGTGTGTGTGTGTGCGTGTGTGTGCCTGTCTGTGCATATTTGTACGCGTGCGTGTGTGCTCGCGCACATTTTTTGCGGGGAGATGCGCGCGAACGTGCGTGGTTAGGGATGAACGACATGGTTTGCACTTCGATTCCGCTTCTGCTGCAATCGGGAACGAACGGCGCATGTGTGTGGATGCGTGAGGAAAGTATCAAAAAACGATTGCGCTCGTGCTGTACTCAAGTGGCGAAGCACGGAAGCTCGGATCAAACACGTGGCGACCAATAACGAAACACAACCTCATCGTGAGCACTTACCATACCCGATTGATTTTGTGTGCTGTCCCAATGTCATGTTTGCCGATCTGCCCAATGGATGATCAATCGAAACACGCGGTGGCAATGTCGACACGGCGAACGCATCCATCGACCAACCGCGAAACACGATGAGGTCACTCGCGATCAGATGATTGATCGTGTCTGCCGCGTCGACGTTACCACCGCGTGTGTGTTGTTCTTTCTGTCGTGTGTGTTCAGATCACTCGTGATCGGATGGTCGATGAGATCCATGACAATATGTACAACACACACGTGATGAACCGACCCATCACGAAACACAAGCCGACCACTCGCGATCGGGTGATAGATGCTGTTTGCTTCCCCGACGGATGATTAACCAATGCACGAGGCGACAACGCATCCAACCGACCAATCGCGGAACGACAGAAGATTACTTGCGATCGGATGATTGATCGTGTGTGCTGCACCGAAGATCAACCCGCCGGCGAGCGACCTGTTTATTTATCCACCTGAAAGTTCTCGACCGAACAGTCGATCGGTCAGGAAATCTGCCAGGATCAACTGGTTGGTCGACCGCTCTGTTGGCGATTGCTCTACTGGTTGATCAACCACCACACCAACCGCCAACCGAGCAGCCGATCAATCAATTGATCCTGGCAGATTTCATGACCAATCGACTGTTCTGTGCACATTGATCATGGAGAACGATCGCGGAGAATCCTCAAGGCAAATGATCATGTGCACGATCGAAACCGGCGAACGAAACACACAACCGATTGGAAAAACGTCGATCCCAATCTGCGAACGAATAAAAGGCACTTCGTCACAATCTTGTTGCTTATCGAACCTTGTATAACATCGAACAATGCTCGCCATGGAACCTGGCTCCACATCAAACCTCGGCGGGCGTCGAACCTCATCGGACGTCGAACTTTGGAGGACGTAGGGACGTCGACACTTGACGGTCACTGAACGGCGAACGTTGAGCACCCACCACCCCACGCGTGGCCGACAATTTTTTCGTGATCGGAACGGGGAACAAGAAATCGTATATCTTGTTCCTCTTCCTCTCGCTCAACTTAGACCACATATCCGTCTTGTTGCTCCACACCTTATCCCGTGTTGGCCTCACGACCATGAACTCACAATTGTGCCCACCCGAATTGACCTCGCTTTTCACCACCTGCATCGTGAATTGCAAGAGGTGGGAGTTCCCTTCCATTGCGACAACGTGCCGGCCGGCCTTCAGAAGCTCCCAGACGCTTCGCTCGTGCGGTTTCCCAAGAAACACGACACTCTCTCCCTTCTTGCCAAGAAAATCAAGAAGACCGACGAATTGTGTCGGATTGCGTTCCATATCCCTGTAGACGCTGCCCTGTCGTTTAGGCGCCACCAGTGACTAGTCGCAAGGCGTGAAAGGATTCTTGGACACATCCGTCTGGGTGACCCTCTGAGGCAATCGCACCGCAGCAGCGGCACCCTTGGGCAGGTTTCCCTCGTAGACCACGGACGTGTTGACGTGCAGATCGTCACCCTTGAAGAGGATGTACATGCGGTCTTCCTCCGTGTACAAATTGTTTCCAACGGGGAAGCTTTTTTTTTGCTGCACTCTCCGCATCCACTTCCCTTACGAAAGAAAGATGGTGCATGCTGGCGAGAAACGACAGGTTGTGCTGCCACGACACGAAAACAATGAGACTCCAATGCGAGGGACACCACGTCTGAAGATAGGAATTCAAAGTCTCCCACGCTTGGGGCTTCCACAGTTTGAGGTCAACTGGCTCGCACAGATCGAGGACGAACGTGTGGCTCTTTGTGGCAGCCACTGCCTCCTTCAGCTCTGCGCCCCTGATGTCCGCCTCTAAAGGGTCGTTAGCGAACAGCGCGATGGATGTCACGTTCCCTATGTGTTTCCATTTAATGTAAACGACGCCTTCGACAAGTGCGACTTCCCGGCTCTTAAGTCTGCTTCCATTAAACACGGAGAGAACCTTGTTTCTCCAGTCGACGGACAACTTCTTGTGGCCCACCAACTTCTCCATCACCTCAATCGAGTTGTCCTAGTTGCAACCCATGTATGGCGGGCAGTCCTTGAACAACGCCGAGTCGGAAACGTGTTTCCTGCTGTTATCCCACAACTCGTCATCCAATCCCTGACCTTCAAACTTCTTGAACACGGCAGACCTCGATCTCAGGAAAGGGTACCTTTGGATCCAGTCCACGTCCGGCCTCTTCTCATGCTTGAATTGGTAGTAATTCCACAACCGGACCAGCACACGGTCGCACTTCACCAGTTGCACTATGTCCTGCACACTGAGCTTTCCCAACTTCGCCAACGACGGGGAGCCGGTCTGAACCCAAACGACCTCGCAAGCAAGCACCTTTTTCAGAACGCGACACTTCTCATTGTCCGTGAGTGATTCCATTGTTTTCCAACAATGCGCGTCCGGGTCTGGCACTTGCACAAACCAATCGCCATCCTCTTTCTCCTTTTTGCCCTTTTTATTCGGCGGGTCCACGGGGACGTTGTACACCACCTCCGTTCTGCCCAATTTGTCGTTGTGGATGTAGGCAACCCCAGGCTTTACGTTTTTGACCTTCTTCTTTTTTACGGTCCACTTCACCCCATCGTGGCTCGGCAATCTGCCCGTCTCCCATTTTTTGAAAAATTCCACGGCCAGTTTCCATACATTTTCCCCGGCCATCGCCAGAGGTAAGTAAGAATGCAGGGCAGCATTTTGCTTCTTAATGGCCTCCTCTTCCTTTCGATCCGCGAGAAGCCACAAGCTATTTTGAGGCGCCTTATGGAGCGCCGTTGTACAAAACTTACGCCAAACCCGGACATGATCTTGTTTCCGCTAGGGTTCCCCATCACAGCTCTCGGGCAGCCGTCATGCTTCCACTGTCATCGAATGTCTTTCATAGAAAGTTTCAACTGTCTGGGAGGCGCCTTCAGGTCCTTCTTGTTGTCCTGTGAACTAACAAGAAAATACCCTTCGAAGCCATAGTCGAAAAAGTACATCATCCGTGCCGGCCACCACTCAAAATTGTACTTCTTGGCCACCTCGCTGCCGAGCAGCGACCTGGTTGCCGCCGCATTTTGCTGCCCGCACACCGCATAGTAGTAGTATTCTCCCGCCAGCTCGTCCTTCCACTCCTCCGGCTTTAGACGTTGTGCCTTGGTCCCAGGAGTTGGTTTTTGAAGCCCCAGTTGTGCGAGCTTGAAGACCGGCAACTCGTACGTCTGTTTTTTATTTTCGAACGTAGACCACATTGCTTCCCTTATCGTTTCCACGAGGACAGGATCTAGCGACCGCTGGTTGTAAAGATCCTCCCACTCCCTTATGTCGACGATCTGAGTCGAGCTGATCTCAAACTCCCGCCTTGTCGTGACGTCGTCTTTGT